AAAAAAAAAAGACGAGTTATATCTTTTTGGCTTGGCTGTGGACTTGTTTTTGTTCCTAACCTGTTGTTAACAGATATGGGTCCAGCCCTTCACCATTTCATCACCTGTCTTCCAAGTTGTAACCATATGCTGTGCACATTTCTGCCAACTGACAGTAACCGGCATTTCTTCTGAACATCTTCATATTGGTATCAACATTTCCATACATAATAATTGTGGATGCATCTTTCAGTACAAATATTTCATTCTTTCATATTTTTGCTGAAACCTGCCGGATTGACCAACATTTTACTTTGTGGCTGGGAGGGGTGAAAATTGAATGGGATTGGTTGATCTTGAGAATAGAATAAAAGTACCTTTTTTTTTAATATTGTATTGGAAAAAAAACTAATTTTTAAAATATTTTAGTATTAAAAAATCCTAGAATAAGATAGGGTATGGATTTTTTTTGTCAGTATTTCTGTAAACCGTGACATTGACAAGGTGTTTCTTCTCGCCAATATTCGACATGAACTCCTTAATTTTGAGATCAAGATAAATCAAACCACAAGATTGAGTCAGACCTTTTTGGTTCGATTTTGTTCTACTGTACACAAATATTTTGATTGTAGAGAAAAGATTATATTCAATTTTAAATTAATTGAAATAAAACTATCACAATTCATTTAGATTTGGTTCAGTTCTTTTTCTTTTCTTTCCCATACAAGGGTTGATAATCAGATGAACCAAGTATTCTCATTTCTTGTTTTTCATTTTATTCGTTTCTTCTTTTTCAATAAAACAATAAAATAAAATAAAACTGCATTAATTGTTTTTTATTGAAAAAATATTCAGAAATACATTGTACATTAATTGTTGCTTTTTTTTAATGGAAAAAGAAAACAGAAATATGTTAACTTTTTCTCCTTTGTGCTCCATCATTTTAAATTAGAAAAATAACATTTTATAGAAAAATTAATTTAAAAGTTTTACATTTTATTTATTTTTAAATATGCATTTTATAAGTTAAGAATGATAAAATAATACTTTGATTTATGTCTTGAATTAAATTGAAAACGAGAACAACTTGATTGAGAAATATAAACAATTAGGTGAACCGTATATTCTCCAAACATTGAAAATGAAAAAAGAGGAAAGGTTACAAACTAGAAGACTTGTTGATTGGTTCTCACTTATTATTAGATCTGTTTTCAAAGTGAAGGGAAACAGTCTTATCATTTAATTAGAAACTTAAAAAGTCACCAGAAAGGAAAAAGACACATTATTAGCGCTAATCAAACTACGGATTAACCCATACAAAGAATCTCATCTAGATTTTAAATCCCCCCATCATCTCCAGCTATCTCTGTCAAATAACCAAAAAAACGAAAAAAGAATGTACTTCGAAAACGACATTTGAGGAATCTACGACTTCGCCCGATGGCGTTGGCCATTGGTAATTAACAACTATTTTGCTAAATAAATATCATATCTTATTCTGCTGTTTTTTGCTACAGAAAAACGCTCATAAATGTCCAAACGTCATCACATTATCAAATTCTGTCCCTACAAGTTAATTCAAACTCCTCCTCAAAGCAAACAGTAAGGAAAACATCATAATAAGTTTACTGTAAAAATGAGAGGAAAAGAGCAAATAACTGTAATATCCTTCCTATCACAAACTGAAAATTACAACCCATCAACCGTGATGTTCTTGACCCTTTGCCTACAGAAAATTCGATCCGGGAGCAATGGCGTTCTACCCGTTTGAGCGGCTGCCCAAGCTTTCGCTTCCAGTTCCAGTTATTTTGGAGTCAAAAGGACTTTCACTACTGATAACTATAAATAAAAGGACCACCCGTATCTTCTACGTTCCTGGCAATAAGATATAGATAAGGCTATCAACACATGCTCATCAAATGGCAGAGAGAGAAATGCTCAAATAAATGAAAACTATAAGAAAAAGTGAGTTCCAATTTTATCCAGATATGAGCATTAGGGCTCAACCACATAGACCTCACTATAGCGTAACAAAAGTTCTCGGGTTGAATGCAGGTTGTTCTAGATAATTGGTTAATTCACAGCATAGATCAGCTTCAGGCACAAGTAAGATCATAAGCACTGATTCTAATTTATAGCAGACATCAGGAGTATGAGAATTTATAGCGAAACGAATGGTAATTAGAATCCTGAACTCATGTGACTTTCACAATCGAGTGAGCGCAGAAAGGCAGCTCAGCTTTGCTTAGCAAAAAGTCCAGAAGGAAAACAAATTCATTTGCATCATCGTATGTTAGAAATTCGAAGAGAGATGATTATTGTCTTGAAACAAAAATAAAACCCAGAACCAGATATTGCACAAGTATTTAACTCAAAATCTAATTAGCCTTCGATGTTTATGAAAGTTTGACTGCATTTCAACCATATCTCATTGCTGCATGATGAGTGCAATAAACAATAATACATCTTATTAACCAGAAAAAGAGGGCATCTTTAATAGTCAATCAAACATTGAGCTTCTAGACAACTGATGCAATTTTAGTAGTATATATTAATTAAGGACTCAACAAGCTGATAGTTTTATAGCTTAAATGAATACTTACTTTTCTTTTGTGCATTCCACTTTTCGATACTTCCATACCAAACCCATTGAAAACACAAGGCCACGATCCTTATTATTCCAGCAAAAACAACTTCAAGGAATGCCATCCAGAATGAATTCTGAGGTGATAAGCCGGCAGTTGATATGGACAATAATGCTCCCTCAAAGTTGCAGGGGACTATAAAACTACCAGATTTAATGCCATTTAAAGTTTTTTTGGCAACTGCCTCAGCTTTCATACTGCCTCCTCCAGCAGCAATGATACTGGTCAATTCAGGTCTTCTCTTATGTTCTGCAATTAAGTGTAGGTAACTTTTAAATGGAGAAACCAACTAAGATACTATAAATTTAAGGATTTCTGTTAATGAAACCTTCTAAGTAGCATGTAGCCTGAGATATCCAAAAAAGAACCAAAAAATAGATGGTTACTAATTTAAATAAAACATAGCTAATACTCTAATTGGTTATCCTTCCAAACCATTCCCCTCATATTTTAATACAAACCATTGAACTGGAAACTGAGCTAAAAATATTCCAGCCCACCTGGGAAATATTGAAACCCTGACTGAGGAGTGAGGACTATGAGAACAATACAATAAAGCAAGACAGGTCTATCTTTATATGTACCTTCTGCTAATCCAGGAGTGTCAGTGTCTGGAGGGAATATGACAGAAATATGTATGTCATCTCCAATGACCTCCTGCTGCAAGGCTTCTGCCAAACCACGAAGCCCAAACTTACTGGCTGAATAAGCCGTGTAACCATAAATGCCAACCTGCACAGATTTACAAGAGGATTTTTCGGAGTAAAAAACTTAGCATCTCTACTGAATCTACAGCTTGTGAGTGCTTGAATGTCATCGATGTCATGAAATTCACCATTCCAACATAATTAAAGAAATTTTTACTAAGAATGAGTTTGGGACTTTCTGGAGTAGCGTTTTCAGGTGAAACACTTATCATAGAGCGTTCATCAAGTGCTTCTTTAATTGATTATGTAACCAAACTATGAAAATTTTGAAAATTTTAAAAAGTACTTTTAAGACTTATTCACTCAACCATACCAAACATTTCATGCTCCTCTCTTCGTTCATTGAATCCTTTGTGTACACGAAACAGCAATCAATACAATTTGGCAATAAAAGTAGAAAGAAACAAGAAGCGCAACTACCTGACCGGCCTGAGAAGACATGAGAGCAATGGATGCTGGTCGACGGTCCACTCTATTCTTCATCGCAGGTAGGGCAGCCTTAATCATGTTAAAAGTGCCCACTAAATTAACATCTAACATGAATTTCACCTCATCCATTCCCTGCTCCGCCAGTTCCTGAGGTACGAACACGCCTTGATTCACGATAAGAACGTCAATCGGCCCCGCTTCATCTGCAGCCCTCGAAATGGCATCGTAATCTCTGACATCGGCGGCGTAGACGGCCACATCGATGCCGGTGGAGAGCCGGATTGCGTCCTTGGCGTCCTCGAGCTTGTTTAGAGAGCGCGCAAGGATGGAGACACGCGCACCCTCCGATGCGGCCTGGTGAGCCAACGCGAGCCCGATTCCGCTGGATCCACCCGTAATGAAGACATGACGATTCTTCAAAGGAATCTTAACAGGACGCGGACGCACTATGAAGTAGAGGAAGACGAGGAGTGCGAAAGGAAGAAGAAGAAGAACGAGAGAGATGAAGGCGTAATTGAATTCCGCCATTGACGAAAGCTTTGCAGTGTAGAAGTCAAGTAAATGATTTTCTTGAAGTTGGGTTTCTTTCGTGGGTTTTGTCACCCAAATTATCCACGTGGCAAGATCTAAGCGGTCCATCTATATCATGTGAAAAATGTTAAAAAACAATGATGCTTTTGTATGGTTACTTGGTCCATGTATTTTTGTCAAAATAAGACCTACACCTTTCTTTCCTATAAAACACGGCGTGATTAAATTCTGATAGATTATAACAATTCCACGGCTCGAAGAAATTAAGGAAAAAAAAAACCGATAGCCATCGGTTTGGGGGTGGTCGAAAATTTCTACCTAGGGTGATGATGGCGATTGAGAATGTAAAAAACCGCAAGAAAATTGGTTCTTCTCTTCAACTTATTTTCACGAATGGCACAACCAGAATATGAGAGAATACGATGCAATAAGGAGGAATCCCTAATAAACAATATCATTGGTTTACTAGAGACGTCAACATTGTTTTTTAGTTCACGATATTCAGTAATTCAAGAGCACCTCCTAAGTAAAAACTTTGATGGTGGGTTGGCCAAAATGAGTCTATGTACTTTCAAATTCTGGTCTCTATAGTTTTAAATTTGTAGTAATCGAGTCCTAATGTATTTTATCAAAATCAAGTGTCAATTTATATTATATAACGATTTAGTATTTGTAATTTATAAACATCATTTGTTGATTTATCAATATACATATATAAAAAAAAATTTAATAAACAAATTCACTGATTAAATCATTACAAACTTTAAACGACAGGTACTAAAATTACATAAATCGCTTTTTAACTTATGGAAAAAATCAAACAATATCGTTAGTTTTTTTTTCATTCCAAATTATAGATCCATTCACTTATCAAGGAAAATAGAGAGAGATGGAGGTATATGTCAATTACCGCTGAGCTATGTCATAGCTAAAAAAACGCCAGTAACTATCTGAATGACTAAACAAAGACCTGCTAACGGACCGAACCCCYACCAATAACTAAGATTGCTCGGGGTTGGATAATCTATCAAATGCTRATTAAGTGTGGAGGATATAGGTTGTTTAAGAAGAGAGAATCGTTGGTTTCTTTTAGTCATTTCTCTYTCCTATCGTGACAACTCTTGTTCCCCCACCTTTTTAGCGTTCTGGGGCCCTACTATGATTAAACTATATATATACCTTTCTTCCACCTCCGAAGGATGGAGGGGGTATACAGCGAAAGAAGCGTCGAAGGGGTCATCCTGGGTTACTGAAGAGTCGTCCGACTGCTCGGTGACCGAATCAGAGAGGTTTTTACYGCTTTCTCTTCTCTCCAACACTTTCGGACTGATCATCTTACTGCAACAAAGCAAGCTTAGGAATGAATCTAATTATGCTCGCTTTGGCGGTTCATTGACTTAAATTATCATTATTGTTTTGATTGGAAAAATAAATATGCATGACATGTAGATAAGTGAATGAAGTCATCCGATCCTCCAACACTCCAAAGCAGTACTCAATTGTTTATTTTTCATACAACTTGATTATGACACTATTTTATTTTTTAAAAAAATTAATGCATCTCATTTTTTTAGTTAAAAATTCGAGAGTATGTATCTAAACTAATTGAACTATGTTTCACATCAAACATCAAAAAAAAATTTAAGATAAAAAAGAAAAAAAGAAGCTATAACTATAAAACCGACCACCGGTTGGCCATCCCTCCTCCTATGGAGGGAAGGCTTACTTTATATAATAAATTATATTTCAACTATAATAATAAATTTGTCCAAGAATAAAAAATTTTGAAAAGAATCCATCAAAAGAAAAGAAAAATGGAAAACAAAATATATTATTTAATGATAAAATTAAAACCATGGGCCATTTTGCATCAGTTGGGTCACATGCTAGTTGCCTTTTGTGGATAATTAATTCATTAAAAGAAATAAATAAATAAATAATACTATTTTGCTATTTTTTTTAGTACCTATTTTACTATTTATTAAACAATAGCGGTGGGGGTTCTTTCAACATCTTGGAAAACTGATCCATTCAAGTTGTTGATATGACCTTTATATTTTCTTAAAAAGTTTTTTATTATTTTGGTCGGTTTATTTTTATCCTTTTCCTATCAGTTATCTCGTGGATATTCATTGCACTGTTATATATATATATATATATATTCTTTGTACTTTCTCCACAGATTGGCGTATGCAAGTTTGTGGTTATCCACAAAATTAGCTAAAAACCAAAATTTTCACCAAAAATGGAAAATAGGTTTCTTTTTAACTTTAAATTCAAAAGAGTTCACATGACAAATTTTTCGTAGGTTCAGGAATTTTAAAAAATATTTAATAGGTTCTGTGAAGAGCAAGATTATTGAAAATATTTAATAGAGTATAAACTTTAAAAGTGTAATAAATCAAATTTTACCTTTTCTAAATTTTAATAATTTATTAGACATGAACATTGAAATATAAAATTACTATTTAAAGTTTAGAAATTTGTTAGACGTAGTAATTAAATCAGTAATTTAACCTTATTTAATGAATCTTCATACCCTCATAATTCGCCCATCATTTTTGTATACTTTTTAGGTAAAAGTTAACAATAACAGAATTCCACATTAAAGTCTCATAAATCTGTCCCATAGAACAAATATCCAGCTATTCAAGCATATGAAAGGTCATGTGGCACTGCGGGAATGCCAGTTAAGAGCATATTCTTCAAAAAAATTCAGCTTTTACACAGTTCAGATTCAGATCAACTCTGAACTTACAACTCACAAACCCATAAACAAAAAAGGAAAGAAAAACCAGAGAGAAAGAGGATCAAAATAAAATTCCCATATTATTAGAACATGAACAACCATAAATTTTTCACAGGGGGGTGGGGGGAGGTTCATAAACCTTGGGCTTCCAATGAACCAGCAAAAACCATTTAAAACCAGTAATTAACACAGCTAAAACTAAAGCCTTCCATGTACAGCATCACCATACTTAATACTTTGGTGAAAGAATTATTATTACTATTATTATGGTTACTTTTTTAAATCTGAATTCTGATTTCTGATACCCTTTTCATCAAATTATTCGAATCCTTAACCCTTTTTGGGACGCAACGAATGGTTGGAAGATACTTGGGAGTTCACATCAATAGTGATTGGAAACTGCCGGTTTCCCTTTATGTTGTTGTTGTTGTTGTTGTATCTTCCACGCCTCTGTTTCCTCACCGGCTGCAGCGACCGGGGGATGAACACGCCGGTCCCCTTGCTCACGCCTATGTA